AAAATCCTTAACAAAATACAAGCAAATCAAATCCAGCAATATATTACAAGACATACTTCTTAATTTATTTTATTTTAAAAAGAGATTTCATTTCGTTATATTTTAGGGAGGGGAAGGGAGAAAGAAAAAGAAGAAAAGAAGCATCAGTGTGTGGTCGCCTCTCGCACGCCCCTACTGGGGACCTGGCCTGCAACCCAGGCATGTGCCCTGACTGGGAATCGAACCAGCAACCCTTTGATTCACAGGCCGTCACTCAACCACTGAGCCATACCAGCCACGGCTAATTTTTATTTTATTTTTTAAAATTTAAGTCATTTTCATTTTTCAATTACAGTTGACATACAATATTAGTTTCAGGTGTACACCCCAGTGATTTAGACATTATATAACTTTACTAAGCAATCATTTGATAAATCTTATACTCATCTGGCACCATATAGAATTATTAAAATATTTTTTACTATATTGCCTATGCTGCACTTGACATCCCCATGACTATTCTGTAACTACCAATCTGTACTTCTTATGCCCTTCACCTTTTTTGCTCATCCTCCCAACCTCTCTCCCATCTGATAACCATCCAAATGTTCTCTGTATCTATGAATCTGTTTCTGTTCTGCTTCATTTTTTTAATTAATTTGTTGATAGAGATGTATTTATTGCCATTATATTGTTCATATTTTTTATCTTTTTCTTCTTCTTAAAAAGACCCTTTAACATTTCTTTTAATACTGGTTTGGTGGTGATGGACTCCTTTAACTTTTTCTTGTCTGAGAAGCCCTTTATATGTCCTTTGATTCTAAATGATAGCTTTGCAGGGTAGAGGAATCTCGGTTACAGGTCCCTGTTTTTCATCCCTTTGAATATTTCCTGCCACTCCCTTCTGGCCTGCAGTTTCTTTTGAGAAGTCAGCTGACAGCCCTGTGGGAGATCCCTTGTAGGTAACTGCTTTTCTGTTGCTGCTTTTAAGGTTCTCTCTTTGTCTTTAACCTTTGGCATTTTAACTATGATGTGTCTTGGTGTGATCCTCTTTGGCTTCATATAGTTTGGGTCACTTTGCACTTCCTGGACTTGTCTGTCTATTTCCTTCACCAGTTTAGGAAAGTTTTCTGTCACTTTTTCAAATAGGTTTTTAATTTCTTGCTTTCTCTCTTCTTCTGACACCACTGTGATACACATATTGGTATGTTTGAAGTTGTCCCCAAGTCTCCTTACACTATCTTCATTTAAATTTTTTTCTTTTTGCTGTTTTGTTTGGGTGTTTTCTGTTTTCTTATATTCCAAATTGCTGATTTGATTCTTGTCTTCCTCTACTGTACTGTTGATTCCCTGTAAGTTTTTCTTCATTTCAGTTAGTATATCCTGTATTTACAACTGATTCACTTTTATGGTTTGCATGTCATATTTTTATGCTGTTGAAGTTCTAAGTTGAACTACTTCTCCCCTGAGTTCACTGAGAATCCTTACAACCACTGTTTTGAATGCTTCATCTACTAGATTGCTTGTCTCCATTTTTTTTAGTGTTTTTCTGGAGTTCTGTTCTGTTTTTTCTTTGTCTCCTCATTTTGGTAGTCTCTCTGTGTTTGTTTCTACGTATTAGGTAGAGCTTCTATGTCTCCCAGGCTTGGCAGAGTGGCCTAATGTAGTCAGTATCCTGTAGGGTCCAGTGGCACAGCCTCTCTGATCACCACTTGCACTCCCCACACCATGTGGGTTGTGTATACCCTCCTGTTGTAGCTGAGCTGTGATTGCTGTTGGCATATCAATGGGACACAACCCTCAGTTATAATCAGATGCAAGCACTGGCTGCTACCACTGTGGAGAATCAGCTGTGCAGGGGCCCACCCCCACAGAACAGGACTTATTTCAGTGGGGCTCTGGTGTTTGCTGAGGTGATCAGATGGTGCTTCAATGTGGCCTGAAGCTGGCCACTGGATGAACTGCCTTCGGAGCCTCCCAGGAGATGCAGCCCAAGGTCAGCCACAGTCTGTGTTCTGCCCTGGACCACTGGCTTGAACTACAAAGTGATCAGCAGATGGCTGCTACTTTTGCTGGACTTGAAGGTGCCCAGGAGAAGCTAAGCTGTGAAACATGGCCAGCTGCTGCTAGTGCTGGACCTGGGGCCACGTAATGAGAGATACAGGGGACTCGCTGAGGTCAAATGCTGCTTGCTTGAGAGATTTTAGGAAAGTCTGAAGCATTAGCCAAGATAGGCTATTCATATAGTAAAGGTAGTGGAAATAGCTTGGGTGGGCCTGCAAGTTAAGTGGGATGGGTATCAGGGAATCACTAGGGTAGGACCAAAAGTGATAGCCAGGTTGATGGACACTCAGCTATGGTGCCTGCCTGCTAGCTCTGTTGGGGAAGGGCTCATCAAAGCAACAATGGCCTCTGCCAGTAGCTGCCCCCAGCTCTCAGCCTGATGCCAGACACTTCAATTCCTCCCTGTATGTCCCCGTTGTCTTTCAAGCTGCTATCCTAGTGCTGGCACTCAGAGGAAATGAGTCTGAGCAAGTCCATGTGCAGGCCCTTTCAAAGAAACTACCTGGGACTCTAGAAGCTTCCTTCTTCCTCAGCCTCAATCCCTGCTGGTTTTTACAGCTGGAAGTTATGGGGGCTTCTATTACTGGCACTGTAACCCTGGGTGGGGGTTCCTGGTGTGGGACTTGGACCTCTCACTCCTCAGGAGTGACCTCCACAGCTAAGATATTCCTCCAGATTTGTATCTGCCACACATGGGTGTGGAATCAGCCCGGTACACATCTCTGCCCCTCCTATTAGTCTGGATGTGGCTTCTTCTTTAAATCTGTAGTTGTAGGACTTCTGTTCAGATAGATTTCAGGCAATTCTTGGTGATGGTTGTTCTGTACCTTAGTTGTAATTTTGATATGGTTGTGGGAGGATGTGAGTACCACCTTTACCTATGCCACCATCTTGACTGGAAGTCCTGCCAGTTGATTTTTGACAAAGATGCAAAGCAATTCAATGGAGGAAGGAGAGTCTTTTCAACAACTGATGTTGGAACAATTGGGTATTCAGATGTAGTAAATAAACCTTGACCAAAACTTCACATGTTATTAAGAAATTAACTCAAAATAGGTCTCAGACCTAAATGTAAACACAAAACTTAAAACTTTTAGTAAAAAACTTTTAGGAGAAACCCTTCATGACCCCAGGAAAGGTAAAGAGTGCTTAGATTTTTTTAAAATATTGTGCTATTTTTATTTTTATTTATTTTTTTAGATTTTATTTATTTATTTTTAGAGAGGGAAGGGAGGGAGAAAGAGAGAGAGAAACATCAGTGTATGGTTGCTGGGGGCCGTAGCCTGCAACCCAGGAATGTGCCCTGACTGGGAATCGAACCTGCGATGCTTTGGTTTGCAGCCCGCGCTCAATCCACTGAGCTATGCCAGCCAGGGCAGAGTTCTTAGATTTGACATCAAAAGCACAATCTGTTAAAAAAAAAAGATAAATTGGACTTCATCAAAATTAAAATGCTTTGTTCTAAGAAAGACCTGTTAAAAGAATGAAAAGATAAACATGGCAGGAAATGTTTGCAAAGCACATATCCAACAGAAGACTTGCATCCAGAATATATAAAGCACTCTGAAAACCAACAATAAAGCAACAGTGAGACAACAAACAAGCCCATTGAAATATGGGCCAAATATCTGAACAAACACTTTACCAAAGAGGATATACAGAAGTCAGATAAGTACTGTTAAGCATCATTAAGCATACAGAAGGCAGATAAGCATCATTAAGTATTAGGGAAATGCCAACTATGATGACCTACAACACTACACATCTAGTGGAGTGGCTTGACCATCTTTAGTACAAACTAAATTAGAAGTTTATTGTATGTGAACTTTCCCCTTGATAATACACTCCAAGAATCCTCACTTGAACATGGACAAGATGTTGGAAGCATGTCCTGGTATCAAGGCCATAATATCTAAGGAAGAATCACCCATACACGCACACAAATGGGTTTTTTCATCATTCTTGCCTCAGATCTCCTTGTTTTTCTATTTTAATGTTTTCAAAGATTTATTTTATTTTTAGACAGAGGAGAATGGAGGGAGAAAAAGAGGAAGAGAAACATTAATGTGTGGTTGCCCCTTTGTACCCTCTGCTGGGACCTGGCCTGCAACCCAGGCATGTGCTCTGATTGGGAATTGAACTGGCAACCTTTTGGTTCACAGGCTGGCACTCAATCCACTGAGCCACACCAGCCAGGGCATATCTTCTTGCTTTTTGTCAAGGGACTTCTTGTTCCATGAGCTTTAGCTTTTCCATGTTTGGCTTCTGTTTCTTCCAGTTTTTAAAATCCTATTTCTGTTACCATGAGTGACAATGATGACACTCACACAGGTTAGGTCTAGCAGGAAACTTAGGGTCTCCTAGGTGCCACACCTGCACTTCAAATAGATTCCACAAGGAGGATGGTGTTCATTGAGGTACTGCTCTTTTAGATTACCTTTAGGACTTGTGGACAGCTAAAAGAGAATAGATATAAAGTGCTCAATTGACCTATCCATGATTTTATTTTTTTTTTGAGTTTCAATGAATACTTCTATTATTTATTTAATAGATCTCCAGCTTCATCTCCCTTCCTCCCTACAACTGGAATTTTATCTTGTTTTCATGTAGCAAAATGACGACAATGCTCATCAGAGTCAGCTACTCCAAGAAGAGGATTAAGCTAATAGGTTAACAGGCAAAATATAAATATATGCACTCTAGAATGCACAATGGTTTAGCCATTGGAAATGCAAATGGGATCCCAAAGAATGTAGCCAGATCTAGGGCGCAGTGAAGGTGAGCTGATGTGCCATTGCCATGCAGCTGTGTTACGTGTTCCTGGGCTGCATCTCTCAGCCACTAGTAGCTGGATCTTGCCTGGATGGGGGAAGACTGTAGCTAATACCAAGTAGAGACTCAGAAAGAACTAAGTGGAGTTAGAGGATGTGCCCAGGAACCAAAAGGCAGCAAAAGTACTAAACATTACTGAGAGCATCCACCCCAGGAAGGACTTTACCTTCTAGTAGCTCTAAACTTGCACCACCCCCAGGGCTAACATGGCTGACTTTGTTCTTCATGTTCCATCTGGTGCAGCAGGCAGTAGTGTCTCCACCACCTATGATGATGATGTAGTCCCTGGAAGTGGCTTTCACCACCTCATCCATGAGGGTTTCGGTCCCTCGGGCAAAAGCTTCCCATGCAAATATGCCCACAGGTCTGTTCCATATAATCTGCTTGGCCCTAGTGACAGCCTCGGCATACTTCTTGCTGCTCTCAGGCCTGTAGTCCAAGCCCATCCAGCCAGCAGGTATGCCAGAGGCCACAGTGGCTTGGCCAGTCTTCACATTCTCATCAAACTTGTCAGCAGTGACAAAGTCAACCAACAAGGTAATCTTCACACTGTTCTTCTCAGCTTTAGACATCAGATCTTTGACGATCTTGGCTCCCTCTTCATCAAACAGAGAAGTGCCAATCTCCATGTTGTTGAGCACCTTAAGGAAGGTAAAAGCCATTCTACCACCAATAATCATCTCATTGACTTTGTCCAACATGTTATTGATCAGCTGGATCTTGTCTGTAACTTTAGCTCTGCCCAGGATGGCCAGGAAGAATTTCTCTGGGCTTTCCAAGGCTTTGCCAAAGTAGTTCAGCTCCTTCTTCATCAAAGAACCTCCAGCTTTCTGTGGCAGATTGACTCCCACCATAGAGATGTGGGCTCGGTGAGTAGTGCCAAACGCATCATTGACATAGACATCCCCTAGCTTGGAAAGTGAGGCTCAGAAAGCTTCTATTTTAGCTGGCTCAGCTTCAACCTTGTTCTCAGAAGCATCTTTTCCCTTCCCTTCTTCCTCCATGTGAAAGTGAAGGTTCTGCAGCAGGATGACAGAGCCAGCAGCTGGGTCACCACAAGCTTTCTCCACTTCAGGATCCACACAGTCCTTAAGAACAGAACATCCTTGCTCAGCAGAGATTTGAGCTCTACAGCAGCTGGCTCCAAGGAGTACTTGCCAGGCATGGGGACGCCATCAGGCAAGCCCATGTGGCTCATGAGAACAACGGACTTGGCTCCATTGTCCAAGCAGAATTTGATGCTTGGAATTGAAGCCTTGATCCTCTGGTTGCTTGTTATCTGGTTGTTCTTCATAGGAACATTGAAGTCCACTCTCATGATGACCCACTTCCCCTTTACGTCCAGCTTGTCCAAATTCAGCTTGTTAGAAAGCGACATCTTGGCAATACAGCAGTGGCGACAGGCCGAGGGATCACACAGCAAGGGAGACAGCAGTGAGAATGCCCATCCATGCTTTTTTTATTTTTTATTTTTTATTTTTAGAGAGGGAAGGGAGGGAGAAAGAGAGAGGGAGAGAGAGAGAAACATCAATGTGCAATTGCTGGGGGCCATGGCCTGCAACCCAGGCATGTGCCCTGACTGGGAATCGAACCTGCGATGCCATCCATGCTTTTTAAATAACATCTCATTTGGCTAACATAAATGATGACTAAACACTAATCATTTAAGTTCAGCTATTTTTGAAAAGAGAAAACATTTATGTTTCAGTACGTCTATAGATATTTGTTAAACACCTACTGTGTACAAGGCTTTATTCTAAATTTTGGGGATACAAACAAAATGTATTTTAAGCAAGATATAAAGGAAATGATACACTTCAATTACTTTTACCTAAGAATTATCCCTGTTTAACTTTATCTGAATTTTCCCAGCAAATTGACTCTCACTTAACAAAAAAAAGATTTTATTTACTTATTTTTTATGGGAAGAGAGGGAGAAAGAAAGGGAGAGGCAGAATCAATGTGTGCTTGCCTCTCACACGCCCCAACTGAGGACCTGGCCCACAATCCAGGCATGTGCTCTGACTGGGAATCAAACCAGCGACCTTTTGGTTTGTGGGCTGGTGCTCAGTCCACTGAGCAACAGCAGCCAAGGGTTGACTCTCATCATTTATGAGGGTCAGAGGTAGCAGGACTTTCATCCATGACAGATTTCCCATAAAATTTCTCCCACCACTGTCTCCTACTTAATCAGCATGCTTACAACAACCATCTCAGCTAGTTCTTGTAAAAGGGAATTCAGCCCATCTCTAAGGTTTCTTCTACTCCCTAACACAAGTTTTTAAAGAAATGCCCAATCTGTCTTTTTCCTGTTATTTTCATCTAAAAATAAGAGGCAAACCTGCTGGTAAGTAACCTTTGATTTTCTTCCCCTTCTCTGAAAAAAATTTTTTTTCTACCATCCATGATGTTGTTTCCTGGTCAAAGAAGTCATTCCCTTCAGTGGGTCTTTTTAAAAAAATTTACAATATATGTACTTAGCCCCTTTCTCATGCATCAAGAACTTGTTTGTTTATTTATTTATTTGTTCATTTATAAGATTTTATTTACTTATTTTTAGACACAGGAGAAGGGAGGGAGAAAGAGAGGGAAAATACATCAAAGTGTGTTTGCCTCTCACACCTGCCACTGGGGACCTGGCCCACAATGCAGGCATGTGCCCTGACTGGGAATCGAACTAGTGACCCTTTGGTTTGCGGGCCAGAACTCAATCCATTGAACCACACCAGCCAGGGCTAAATGCAGATTTTAAAATGAAATTCAATTCCCACTGCTGTTAAAATGTATCACATTTGCAGTTCACAGCCTGCTGTGGCCCTTTGCTAACAGAGATCATTTTTCCCCTTGTAAACTGAAGAGGCATGTTGACTAGGACAAAACTGAATGTAGTAAAACAGGTTCCAAAGTGTTTTCTCATTTGTTGTTTCTCAGCAACAAATGGCCTGTGCACTGCAGGCAGCCCCTCTCTGCTGGGATGTGCCAACTGAGAAGTTCCACAAAGGAAGGAGGGTCAAGCTTCTAGAAGGGACTTCTGAAGTCCAAGGATAGAGATGGCAGCCACTGGCCCACGGTGCTGTGCTTTTCCACTTGCCAAGCAGTGCTGCCTTTTGATCCCAGCTGAGGGCTTAGTCTGAGAGCATCATGGTTCTGCTGTTTCCTCAGTTAAGATTGGAGCCATCCAGGGGACTCAGATTCAGGGACTCAGCAGTCAGCCTGGACTACAGCAGAGCTAGGTGGGGATTTGGAGAGAGGAAGACATGGGCCTCACACCAGCCTTGACCTGCTCCTTCAGTATAGAGCAAAGGTCAGGGCTCTAAGAGGTGTATTAAACTCATAACAAAGATTATGTATTTTAAAAAATATATTACTTTTATCATTATAAAAATAAAAAACAATTTTTTAAAAAAATCTTGAAGAAAACTGAAGAGCATGAACCCTTTGTGTCCCCTTAGGAGCTTTTTCCATTATCTCTTTAATCTTTCTGGCGTTCACTAAGTTCTGGGCCCTGTCTGTGCTCGCCTTAGCCTGGCTCGCCTATGATTGGAAAACCCACAATCAAGGTAAGAGACATGGGAAGAGCGGTGGTTCCTGTCTGTGTCAACGATGTAACCACAGAGAGAGGGATGTGAAGGGAGAGAATGGGGGAGAGGCAGAGGGGGAAAGGGTGGGGAGAGGAAAGAAAGGGATAAGGAAAGGAGGGGGCAGTGAAGAGGGGGAGGGAGAGGGAAGTGCAAAAGGTGTTTAGAGGGAAGGGGAGCAAACTTCAACCAGGGAACAGAGATCTCTGCCAAGCCACCAAGGAAGAATTTTTTTTAAAGATCTTATTAGTTTTAGAGAGAGGTGAAATGAAGGAGAAAGAGAGGGAGGGAAGCATCAATGTGTGGTTGCCTCTCACACAACCCCTACTGGGAACCTGGCCTGCAACCCAGGCGTGTACCCCTGACTGGGAATCGAACCAGGGACCCTTTGGTTCCCAGGCCCGCACTCAATCCACTGAGCCACACCAGCCAGGGCAGAATTTAAAGGTTGAGGTTTCTGTGTAGGTAGCCCACCTCACACTCTTTGCCTATCCCCTTTCTGGCTGAGCCCAGAAGTGGAGGGGCTCCCTATGTTTTCTGGGGAGTTGGATTTAGGGACAGTACCTACAGCTCTGTACCCTTGTGTGACCTGAGAACTATAGGAAGAACCCTCCCCCTCTGGGAATGGTAGAAGAATTGGCAACATCTCACCTGCTCTTCCCTTTCCTTCTGTACCCGCAGGTGGTAGGCGTTTAGCTTGGGTACGAACATGGACCCTCTGGAAGTATTTCCAAAATTACTTCCCAATAAAGGTGACTACCCCTTTGTCTGGATGTCCTCGGGCCCTGTTGCTCAGATTCTTCCCTCTCCACTCAGCTTCATGTTTTCAAAGGCTTTGGTGGCCAGTAGTGAAGGTTAAGGCTCAGAAGCATAATGCAGAGTAGTGGCCCAGGATGGATGGGGAGGTGAGGAGATGGGTGGATGGAGAACAGCATTTCCTCACAATGAAAAAGCCAGATCAACCTCTCTGAGCATCATAACCCCTGGTGACATCCCAAATGCACAGGAATTTGGGCTCCCCGAGGGAAACACAGGTTACCTGCTGGGATCTGAGTCCATACGTCCTCTCTTCCTTCTTCCTACCCACGGTTCTGATTCAATCTCCCTCCAACAGCTGGTGAAGACTCATGACCTCTCTCCCAAACACAACTATATCATTGCCAACCACCCCCATGGCATTTTATCTTTTGGGGTCTTCATCAACTTTGCCACTGAGGCCACTGGCTTTGCTCAGACTTTCCCAGGCATCACTCCTTCTCTAGGGACCTTGGAAGGGATCTTCTGGTGGCCAATTGTGCGAGACTATGTGATGTCAATAGGTGAGTATGGGGAATAATCCTATCCTCTGACCTACCTCAGGGTTCCAACCTCAATAAGTCCTGAGATGCAGTCCAATTCTCACTCCCTGCGGAAAGAGGACTTAGTAGAAAATGAATCCTAAACACACTGAACCAGTAACAGGAGTATGTGGCTAAGCATCAGGTTCTGTCTAAGATCTGGGAGGCAGAGTTTGGTTAGGCATCAGGGTAAGTTACAGGTGTTCATAAGAGTTGCCAAAAATATTTTTGGAGAAGAAAGGAAAAGCCTGGAGTTCAGGATCAAAGCCAAATATCGAACCCAAATGATGGGGAAGTCAGTAATGAAAGGAGCAGCTCAGATGAACTTTATCAGTCTCTTTCTTGGATATTAGTTGGCTTCTTCTGGCCAGTCATTTATAAAGCAGCTCTCATCCCAGAGTGTCTTAAAGTTATTGTAAAGTCTTTCATACTAGCTGGTCCATGACCTTCACTCTCTTGGGAATCCCTTCAAACTTGCATAAGATGTCAAAGGATAAAGGATAAACATCCATCACAATCCAGGACAACCGCCCCATGCCAGGCTTCAAGCTAGGGTACAGTGACAAATGTCCTCTCCGGATGAATATCCATCTTTGTGGACACCAGAAAAAACTGAAGCCAAATATTAACAGGTAAGATACATTTATCTGAGGGGACCACATAGGAACACTAGAGGCCCAAAGGATGGTTCTGCTCCCCTCTGACGGCGTGAACCTGGAGCAGCAGACTCTCTCAATGACTGAGGCCTGGAGGCAATTTTTGCCATCCCAGGAGGGTACAGAAGGCAAATTCAGGGCAAAGATGGGAAGAAGTAAGGAAAGAGTTTGTGAGTGTTTTTTAAATTTTTTTAAAAGGTTTTATTTATTTATTTTAGGGAGAAGGGAAGAGAGGGAGAGAAACACCAATCAGTTACCTCTCACACATGCCCCAACTGGGGACCAGGCCCACAATCCAGACATATGCTCTGACTAGGAATTGAACCAATGACCTTTCACTCTGTGGGAGGTCATTCAACCAACTGAGCCATGCTGGTCGGTCAGGGCTGTGACTATTGTTGAGCAGAGGGGTGTTATCTTTATTCCATGGTTCATCTACATTTCATTTTGGCTTGGGCAGGCTTCTGGGTCTGCCTACTCTCCAGAAACCCCAGCCAATGGTTCCCCTTCAGCAGGTACTCTAGGGAGGAAGCAGGTTGGTGGTGGCTAGTTCTGATCAGCCCTGGGGAGAGGATTCTGGTGAGCCTCCAGTGTTGTTAGCCTGGGGAAAGTGAAAGATGGCTGTGGTTGATGGGTAAAGAGGGAAGGGATGTGCTTAAATGCTAGTGAACTAAGAGAAAGTAGGCAGAGGAACTCAATGTCGCCCCAACTGTAGTTGCACAGACTCGAATGCAAGCAGCTGATCCTAAGGACAAACCTCAGACTAGGGGTAAGCCAGGATGTGGAGGTCAAAGACAGAAGAAGGGAAACACTAGTCAGGAAACAGAATTGTCTCCATCATTAAGAGCCTAGAAGAACCCCTTACCTCATTCTCATGCATCAAGTTTGTTGACTTTTTGGTTTCACAGGTGTGTGCCCCGTGAGCAAGTTGGCCTTGAAATATTTGCTAACTCAGAAAGGCTCAGGCAATGCCGTGGTTATTGTGGTGGGTGGAGCTACTGAAGCCCTCATGAGCCAGCCAGAAGTTTCTACCATCTTCCTTAAACGGCGAAAAGGTTTTGTGAAGTTGGCACTGAAGACAGGGTGGGTCTCTAGGTTCTGGTGCCCTATTGTCTGGGTGCCGTATGTCCTCTGTCGAACCTCTCCAGAATGGTGTCCTTCCTTGGAAACTTGTAGAGGGGGCTCCCTCTTGACTCTGATTAATTCTTTCTACTCCCTCACACTGTCCCTAAAAGGCGTTTGGGCCTCCAGACACATTTTGGTGGACACTTTTTTTTTTACCTGAAGTTGGAGAAAGAACAATAGAAGAAGACCCATTGGCCTCGTAGGCAGGCTGGGGGTGTGGAGAAGAGCAGATTCACTGTATATAAACCTATTAACTGAGAGGTCTACAGAACCTACCCAGGGCAAGGAAGGCACTGGGCTTGATACCACTGGGATTGCAAGGATGAGTAAAACATGATTCCTGCCCCCAGAGAGCATATAATCTGGTTTGAGAAATAGAATGCATTCATTCAGCAGTTATTGAACACCTGCTGTGTGTCAGACATAGTACTAGGCATTGAGGATATAAAAATAGGTAACACCCCATCTCACCTTTAAGGAACTCAGTCCAATAGGGAAGACAGACATATAATTATAAAATATATCCAGAAGCCAACCACTTACCATCTCAACTACCACCCCAGTTTGAACTACTATCAGCTCTCCCCTGGATTATTACGTTGGTCTCCCAAGGTCTCTCCCTGTTTCTATCCTTGTCTCCCCCACATCCAAGAATCTATTTTCAACTGTAGCCAGGATGATCCTATTTTTTTATTGAATTTATTGGGATGATATTGGTTCACAATACCATACAGTTTTCAAGTGTACAACTCAACAAAACATCTGCACACTGCATTATACACCCATTGCCCCAAGCAAAGCAGTCTTTTTCTGTCCCCATTTATCCCTGCTTTGCCCACCTCCACCACTCCCCACCTCCTTTCCCTCTGGCTATCAACACACTTTTGTCTGTGTCCATGTGAAAGAATATATTTATATTTATATTTATATTTATATTTATATTTATATTTGCTCAATCCCTTCAGCTTCTTTCATCCAGCCCAACACCCTTCCCCTCTGACAGCTGCCATTCTGTTCCATGTATCTATGCCTATGTTCCTGTTTTTTTCATAAGTTCATTTTGTTCATTAGATTCCACATAGAAGTGAGATTGTATGCTGTTTGTCTTTCACTGACTGGCTTATTTCACTTTGCATACTAATCTCCAGGTTCATCCATGCTACTGCAAAAAGTAAGAGTTTCTTCTTTTTAATGGCTATGTAGTATTCCATTGTGTGATTGTATCACAGCTTTTTTTCTAAATTTTATTTTTTAATGTATTTTATTGATTATGCTATTATAGTTGTCCTGTTTTCCCCCCTTCACTCCCCTCCACCCTGCACATCCCCTCCCACCCACATTCCCCCCGCTTTAGTTCATCTCCATGGGCTGCACATATAAGTTCTTTAGCTTCTACATTTCCCATACTATTCTTGCCCTCCCCCTGTCTATTTTCTACCTACCATCTATGCTACTTATTCTCTGTACCTTTTCCCCCACTCTCCTCCTCCCACTCCCCTGTTGCTAACCCTCCATGTGATCTCCATTTCTGTGCTTCTGTTCCTGTTCTAGTTGTCTGCTTAGTTTGTTTGTTTGTTTTTTGTTTTAGGTGTGGTTGTTAATAATTGTAAGTTTGCTGTCATTTTACTGTACATGTTTTTTATCTTCTTTTTCTTAGACAAGTCCCTTTAACATTTCATAAAATAAGGGCTTGTCGGTGATGAACTCCTTTAACTTGACCTTATCTGATAAGCACTTTATCTGCCCTTCCATTCTAAATGAAACCTTTGCTGGATAGAGCAATCTTGGATGTAGGTCCTTGCCTTTCATGACTTGGAATACTTCTTTCCAGCCCCTTCTTGCCTGCAAGGTATCTTTTGAGAAATCAGTTGATAGGCTGATGGGAACTCCTTTGTAGGTGACTGTCTCCTTATCTCTTGCTGCTTCTAGGATTCTGTGCTTCACTTTTACCTTGGCCAATGTAATTATGATGTGCCTTGGTGTGTTCCTCCTTGGGTCCAACTTCTTTGGGACTCTGAGCTTCCTGGACCTCCTGGAAGTCTCTTTCCTTTGCCAGATTGGGGAAGTTCTCCTTTATTATTTGTTCAAATAACTTTTCCACTTGTTGCTCTTCCTCTTCTCCTTCTGGTACCCCTAATTCAGATGTTGGGATGTTTAAAGATATCCTGGATATTCCTAAGCCTCTCCTCATTTTTTTTGAATTCTTGTTTCTTCCTTCTTTTCTGTTTGGTTGTTTCTTTCTTCCTTCTGGTCCACAGTGTTGATCTGAGTCTCAGTTTCCTTCCCATCGCTATCGGTTCCCTGTACATTTTCCTTTATTTCACTTAGCATAACCTTTATTTTTTCATCTAATTTGCAAACAAATTCAACCAATTCTGTGAGCATACTGATTACCAATGTTTTGAACTGTGCATCTGATAGGTTGGCTATCTCTTTGTCTCTTAGTTGTATTTTTTTCTGGAGCTTTGATCTGTTCTTTTGTTTGGGCCATTTTTTTTGTCTTGACGCACCTGTTACGTGTGAGGGGTGGAGCCTTAGGTGTTCACCTGGGCGGGGTAACCCACAACACTGTGTTGTGATGCTGTGTGTGGGGGAGGGGGTCTGAGAGGGAACAATGGCTCTTGCTCTGCTCTCTGCTGGATTTCAGTCACTTCATCTGCTTCTCACAAGCAATTTGGGCCCTTCTGGTGCTGATTCCTGGGCAGGTGGGTTTGTGTATGTTCTAGGACCCTGTGCATCTCTCCAATGAACTCTCTTGTGAGGCTGGGAGTTTCTCCTGCTGCCTCAACCCCCACAGGTGTTTTCAATTGGTGGTTAGAGGTGTCATTTCCCTGTGCCGGGGCCGGGGGTTGCGTAGTCCATCCCGCTCCCCAGTTGTTTTTCCTGGTTTCTCTGCGAGTGAATGTGGGACCATCCAGTATGCAATCTGCTGCCTTGCCAGGTCTGCGCACTGCTGCCTTGCCCACCAGCCACTGCCTTGTCTCGAGTCCTCTCTGCCCCACTACCTGTCTCCACCCCTTCTACCAGTCTGGATGAGTGTTTCTTCTTTACCCCCTTGGTTGACGGACTTCCATACAGTTCAATTTTCTGTCAGTTCTGGTTGGTTTTTGTTTTTAAATTGTTGTTGTCCTTCTTTTGGTTGTGCAAGCAGACACAGTGTGTCTACCTATGCCTCCATCTTGGTTGGAAGTCCTTTTTTCTAAATTTTATAATCACTGTTCTTCAAATCATTTGTATTTTGATTATCCCAATTACCCTTAACATTTCTTTAAGTTTCTAAATTTCCAACCACATTAAAATGCAAACTCAGAAAAGACTAGAAGTATAAAGCTTCTTGAAGAAATCATAGGGGATATTTTTATGAACTCTAGGAGTAGGGAAAGATTTCTCAGAGAGGTGTATCACAGCTTTTTTTACCCACTCATCTACTGATGGACATTTGGGCTGCTTCTAGACCTTGCCCATTGTAGATAACACTTCAATAAACACAGGGGTATATATATTCTTCAAACTGATGTTTTGGGATTCTTAGAATATATTCCCAGAAGTGGGACCTCTGGGTCAAAAAGAAGTTCCATTTTTAATTTTTTTAGGAAACTCCATACTATTTTCCACAGTGGATGCACCAATTTGCATTCCCACCAACAGTGAATGAGGGTTCTCTTTTCTCCACGTTCTCACTGGCACTTGTTTGTTGTTGATTTATTGATGATGGCCATTCTGACAGGTATAAGGTAATATCTCATTGTGGTTTTAGTTTGCATCTTTCTGATGATCAATGATGTTGAGCATTTTTTTCATGTCTATTGGCCATCTGTATGGCCTCTTTGGAGAAGTATCTGTTCAGGTTCTTTGCTCATTTTTAAATTGGGTTGTTTGTCTTTTTGGTGTTGAGTTGTATAAGTTCTTTATGTATTTTGAAAATTAACTCTTTATTAGATGTATCATTGGCAAATATGTTTTCCCATTCCATGGATTCCCTTTTTATTTGATGATGATTTCTTTTGCTGTACAAAACCCTTTTAGTTTGATGTAGTCCCATTTGTTTCATTTTTTTCTTTGTTTCCCTTGCCTCAGGAGACAATCAGCAAAAAATATTGCTCTGAGAGATGTCTGAGATTTTACTACCTGTGTGTTCTTCTAGGATTTTATGGCTTCATGCCTTACCTTTACGTCTTTAATTCATTTTGAGTTTATTCTGGTATGTGGTGTAAGTTGGTGGTCTAGTTTCATACTTTTGCATGTATCTGCAATTTTCCCAATGCCATGTGTTGAAGAGACTGTCTTTACTCTATTGTATGCTCTTGCCTCATTTGTCAAATATTAATTGACTATAAAAGTATGGGTTGATTTCCGGGTTCTCCGTTCTGTTCCATTGATCTATATGCCTGTTCTTATGCCAGTACCAGGCTGTTTTTATTACTATGGCCTTGTAGTACACTTTGAAATCAGGTAGTGTGATACCTCCAACTTTGTTCTTCTTTGTAAAGATTACTGAGGCTATTTGGGGTCTTTTGTGGTTCCATGTAAATTTTTGGAATACTTATTCTAGTTCTGTGAAATACACCACTGGTACTTTAATAAGGATTGCATTGAATCTGTAGATTGCTTTGGGTAGTATGGGCATTTTATCGATGTTAATTTTTCCTGTCCATGAACACAGTATATGCTTCCACTTATTTGTATCTTCCTCAGTTTCTTTCTTCAGCATCTTATAGCTTTCCAAGTACAGGTCTTTTACCTCCTTGATTAAGTTTATTCTTAGGGACTTTATTTTGTTGTTGTTGTTGTTGTTGCAATAGTAGATGGGATTGTTTTCTTAGTTTGTCTTTGTGATAGTTCATTATTGATGTATAAAAGTGTCACCAGTTTTTGAATATTAATTTTGTATTCTGCTACTTTGCTGAATTCATTTATTAGATTTGTAGTTTTTTGGTGGACTCTTTATGGTTTTCTATGTACAATATCATGTTGTCTGCAAGTAATAACAGTTTCACTTCCTTTTTTAAATTTGTGTGCCTTTTATTTCTTCTTCTTTTCTGATTGCTGTGGCTAGGAATTCTAGTACTATGCTGAATTAGAGTGGTGAGAGTGGATGGACATCTCTGTCTTGTTCCTGATGTTAAGGGGAACACTTGCGGTTTTTGCCCACTGAGTATGATGTGCGCTGTGTGTTTGTCATATATGGCCTTTATTGTGTTGAGGTATGTTCCCTCTATCAGGATGATCTTATTAAACATGAGTGAAATCATGTCATTACTCCAAATGCTCCAATGACTCCCATTTCACTCCAAGCAAAAGTTAAAATCTTTATAAGGGCCTTGAGGACCCTATATAATATGGCCGTTGGCCACCTCTGTGACCTCATTACCCACTGCTCTCCTCCTTGCTTACTCCCTTAGAACTATAATGGCCTCCTTGTTGTCCCTCTAACAAGCTGCATGCTCCTGCATTATGGCCTGTGCCCTAGCTGTCCCTCTTCTCAGTACGGTCTATCCTGACTGTCCTGCTCTGTCTTTTCCATTGCACTTATTTTATTTTTTTAAAGATTTCATTTGTTTTATTTTTAGGCAGAGGGGAAGGGAGGGAGAAAGATAGAGAGAGAAACATCAATGTGTGGTGGCCTCTTGAATGCCTCCTACTGGGGAACTGGCCCACAATCCAGCCCTGATTGGGAATTGAACCAGCAACCCTTTGGTTCACAGGCCAGTGCTCAATCCACTGAGCCACACCAGCCAGGGCTCATTTTCTTATATATCATCAATCTTATTTATCTACCTGTTTTTGTTTGTTTGTTATTATTGTTTATTGTCTGTCTTCCCTAAAGGTAAACTCCATGATTACAGAAATTTTTAAATATCCGTTGTGTTCACTGATGTATCCCCAAGGCTTAAAACAGTACTGGAATATAGAAAGAACTTAATAAGTACTTGTTCAATGAATGGTGTATTATAATGGAGATATGTACAAATTTCTATGAGATCACCAATTAATGGAAAGACTTTCATTTAAATGAGAAGTTACATCAGTGGGTGATATTTAAATTGTGAATTAAAATATTAGTAGGATTTGCCAATCAAACCAAAAGGCAGAAACAATTCAGGGGACCTACAATATATGTGGTATTATGCCAGGCCCTAGGGATTCATAGATAAATGAAACAGTTCCCAACTTTGATCAGCTTGACAGATAACTGAGGAGTCAGACAAGTAAGGAGATGACTGTATTAGAGTTAAGATAGTGTTAGTGCAGGAGAAAAATATGCATTAAGCAAGGGGTACCTAATCCATATTGTGGGAGAGGAAATTGGAGGTGGTCAAAGTTTCTTTAAGGGGATGAAATCAGAGCTGAGTGTTGAAGGGCAAAATAGAATTAGCTACGTGAAAACAGAAAGAAGGCATTTCCAGCAGAGGGAGCAGAATGCACAGAGACGCACAGACAAGAGAGAACTGGGCACAGTTAACACGGCTTAACATAGCAGATGGCAAAGAAAGGGTGGGGTGAGGGGAAGCTAGCCAGGTAGGTAGGGCTCAAATACAAAGCCCATGTTAAGCAGCATGGTACAAAGCTAGGAGCTCTGGAAGAGTTTTAAAGAGAAGAATAACATGTCCAGATATGCAGGTTAGGAAGATTACTCTGGATGCTGGGTGCAATAAAGGCAGTTAAGCTGCCCAAGACTGTTTTCTTTTGATTATGGGACAATGTGTAGCAGCTCTTCATAAAGGGTTCAGTTGGGAGGGTGGGGCACGGCAAGAATGAGACACAGGCTGGAGATGCTTGGGTGCTTGGGTTCTTGTCCTATACTGGGGAGATTTAGAGGTTTCCCACCTCGGTGAAGGTTTCAGTGGGGGAAGTTTCCTGGGAAAATGCACACTTCTGCCCCTCTCTTTGCAGAGCATACCTTGTCCCTTCCTATTCCTTTGGAGAGAATGACGTTTACAAGCAAGAGAGATTCCCTCAGGGCACATTGATAAATTTCTTCCAAACAGCATGCAAAAAAATCTTGGGACTAAATTTCTGTGTCTTCCATGGCCGAGGCCTCACTCGAGAATCCTGGGGCTTCCTGCCTTTCAATCGGCCGATTACCACTGTTGGTGAGCTTTCAGTATCTATGAACCACACTGATCCTGGATCCCCCCCACCCCCAAGTCACACATCAAGTCCTAGAGACCCATGGCACACAGCTGGGACAGGCAATGGGAATTCTATTGGGTGTGGTGGAGGGTATGGTGGGGAGGACAACTGAAAAGATAAGAATTATGGCCATTCACCAGTGGGAGAGAGTTCAACAGCTGCCATGAGGGCATCATTATTCACTTACACTCCTTCGGCACTTCCCTGAGTTTGTTCTCATTCTGTTGTGCATTTGTGACATTAGGTATTTGGAGAATATGGAGTTGGTGGGGGGACAAAGGAAGGGGAGGGGACCCACACACTGAGTTTCAATATGCAGCTCCCTCTAAGGGATGGGTAATTTGAGTTGGGAGGGAACTCTGATGCTTATCTCTTCTTCCCCATAGTTGGGGAACCCCTGCCAATCCCCAAGATTAAGAATCCAGATGAGAAGACAGTGGACAAATACCACGCACTCTACATCAGTGCCCTGCGCAAGTTGTTTGACCAGCACAAAGTTCAGTATGGCCTTCCTGAGACCCAGAATCTGACAATCATATAACAGGAGTTGGATTCCCTTATTCTTAAACCCCAAAACATTGAAATATCCAAGTAAGGCCACATGGATGGAAGACTTTGGGGAGGGGGAGGTGTGAAATAGGAGGCCAACCAAGCTACAAAGTACTTAATGAGTCAAGTTGCGGGGAAGAAACCAGAGGAACATGGGAAGACTGGACAACAACCCAGTTCAGCAAGCAGTCTTGTGAGTTCACAGGTGCTTCTTGGCCCCCTGACTCCAGCTAATTCTCTGAGCAGAAGAATGAGAAGCCAAAGAACACCATGCCACTTCCTTCTGATCCTTAGTGACACCATCACCATATAGGTTTAGACTTAGAAGCCTTGTTGAGAACAGGCATGGTTTGTTTCCTCCTAGACTCTTTCCCTACAATTTGGGGACCACTACAAGATAAACTGGGGACCTCAACTGTGGTTTGCTGATCCAAGCCCTCAGTTGTGACACATTTCTGCACTGGCAAAAACTTTTGCATGCAGTTATGCTGTTTGTTTTTAAAATTAAAATAAAGATCTGGGTGTATAAAACCAAGTATGACTATTTCCTACTTACTCTGTGGTTCACTACTGTACTTCCCTCAAACCCGGCCAGAAAGCTGGTCTGTGGAGAGCCATTTTCCTCTTCTTCATCTGCCATTTATACTGCCCCTGACAGAAAAGGTAAGGGAGTGGAACCATAACTACTACACAGTGTAGGAGATAGGAGCAGAACTGTGGGAACTGACAGGTACCCACCGAGGAGTCCATCTCTCTTGATACCACATAAACTACCCTGGGTCAGAAGGGAGGCAGCCACAGGACCATGCACCAGCTGTGAGTTGACCTTATGTCACATACCTACTGTGTACCAAGAACTATGCCATTATTTTCAAAACCTTTGTCTTTTACTGTTAACTGAAGCCCTGCAAGATTGGCATCATCTTCATTTCACAGTAGCTAAAACTTATAGAGGTTAAGTAACTTGCATATAGCTTTGGATAGAACTAGCATCCAAACCCAGGTCTTACTAATTTTAATCCAAAGATCTTTCTAATGTACCAATCACCACACTTCCTATTTCTTATTTCCTGGAGAACTCAGCTTCATTTTCTTCAGTGAGGTCACGTGGAACCCCACTTAAATTAGTTCATAAGTATGGGTAAAAATGACATGAATTCTGTTCAGAGTGGTCCCAGTTTAGGCTTTGGAGAAATAACTTATCAATGAAAAAAAAAACAACCTTTCTATAGTAATAGAATGGAATTGAGAGTCCAGAAGCAAACAAATCCATTTATGCTCAATTGCTTTTTGCTGAGGGTACCAAGATAATTTAATGGAGTGAAAAAATACTCTTTTCAATAAATGATGCAGGGGCAACTGCATATTAACATGGAAAAGGGTGAAGTTGGAAGCCTATCTCATACCATACACAAAAATGAACTCAAAATGGATCAAATACCTAAAGTGAAAGCTACACCTATACAACTCTAAGAAGAAAACATAGGGTAAAGTTTGCTGGCCTTGGATTTAGCGATGGTTTCTTATCTATGACACCAAAAGTACAAATGACAAAAGAAAAAAATGGGAAGTGGGACTTCATTGAAATTAAACACTTTTGTGCTTCAAAGGACACTATCAAGAAAGTGAAAAAACTCACAGAATAGGAGAAATTTGCAAATCATATATCTGATAAGAAAATAGTATCCAGAATATAGAAAGAACACTTACAACTCAATGACTAGAAAAGTCTAATTAAAAATGGGCAAGAGCTAAGAGTATTCCACTGGGTGTGTGTGTGTGTGTAATATTTAAAATATTTTATATAATATTGTGTATATATATTATATATAATATAACATAATTATATATAGGGAAAACTCAATATTGTGAAGATATTCTTTCCAAATTAAATCAAATGTTTAATGCACTTCCAATTAAAATTCTCATAGTGTTTTGGTACTTGAGAAAATTATTCCAAAATTCATCCAAAAGAATAAACAGTCAAAAATACCCAGGCAATTTTTGAAAATTAAGAGTAATGACAAGGAACTAGCACAACTAGATGTTAAAACACAATATAAATATACAAACATTAAAACAGAATAGGATTGGTACAAAAATAGATGTATAGGTCAATGGAATAGAACATAGAACCCATAAATAGAGATAGATAGATTTATTATACCTATATCTTATAGGTCTATCCATATATATACAGCCATACCTTGGAGATATTGCAGATTCAGTTGTAGACCACCACAATAAATTGAATCACACATATTTTTTTTGGTTTCATAGTGCATATAAAAACGTATTTACTTTATATAGTTGTCGATTAAGTGCAATAGCATTATGTCTAAACATGAACATAACTTAATTCAAAATACTCTGTTGCTAAACAATGCTAACCATCATCTGAGCCTTCAGCAAGTCATAATCTTTTTGCTGGTGGAAGGTCTTGCCTCAATGTTGATGAAAACACAGTATCTGCTAAGTGCAATAAAAAGCAAAGTGCAATAAAACAAGGTATGCCTGTGCTGAACACAGTATAAAAGAAACCTCACAAATAAATGGGGAGGGGTAGATTGTTCAATAAATGGTATTATAGTGGAAATATGCATCTGAGGAGAAGAGGTTTAATGTCACTTCATATGGTATACCTGAATACAATTTATTCTTGTATTATCACTTATTAATTATTGTATTATTTTCCATATGAACAACTATAAGTCTACTTATGCTCCACCCTGTATATTTTTTAAATATTTTATTTATTTATATTTAGAGAGAGAGGAGGGAGGGAGGAAGCAGGAGAGAGAGAGAGAAACATCAACTGGTTGCCTTCTACATGTATCCCAACTGGGGACCGGGCCTGCAACCCAGGCATGTGCCCTGCCTGGGAATAGAACCAGCAGCCTTTTGCTTTGCAGGATAACAGTCAACCTACTGAGCCACATGGGTCAAGGCTATATATTATAATTAGAATAAAGAGTTTTATTTAGAGCCTCAAACCATAAAAAAAACATAGCAGAAGAAAATGTAGGGAACCTCAGAAAATGGGCTATGGGATTAGTCTCTCTACTTAAGGGTCCCCCCATGTCTCTTCTGTCAGGAAGATTATCTTTGGCCCCAGTGCTCTCTAAGCCAAAGCAAGACCCCAACACAGTAGCACAACACTATTGTGTGAGTGTGCAGCAAAATCAGTGGCCAAGGTCCCTCAGAATTTGTTGAGCCAGAGAGTTGAGTGGGGCCTCTGCATGGGCATCCCCAAAAGGCTTCCCTAAGTGCTGCAGGTCCAAGCTCCCTTCCATCTTGTGGCTGTGCAACCTAACAAGAAAGTATCAAGAGGTACAATGGAGCCCTGGCTGGTGTGGCTCAGTGGATTGAGTGCTGGTCTGCAAACCAAAGTGTTGCAGGTTTAATTCCCAGTCAGGGCACATGCCTGGGTTGCTGGACCAGGTCCCCAGTAGGGGGCAGGTGAGAGGCAACCACACATTGATGTTTCTCTCCCTCTCTTTCTCCCTCCCTTCCCCTCTCTCAAAAAATGAATTAATAAAATCTTTTTAAAAAATAGGTACAATGGAGAGAGGTTGGAGAGAAAACAGATAAGGGAGAGGTTTCCTTGTTGGGGGAGGAAGAAGCCCTGAGGTCCAAGACTATCACAGGAAACTCATCCTTTTGGAACTTCCACAAAGGAACCACCATTCTGAAGGCATAACATCTGAGGTGTAATATTGAAAAACTAAGAAGTTTTTCAAGCCCTAAGCTCTGGATCTCAGGACCTGGTGGAGGTTTTTCTCAATAACTAGTATTCCTCTTTTCCCCAGTAACTGAAAGCAAAGTGAGCTTAGAGATGGCCTCGGACAGGGAACTGGTGAGTCAGAAAACAGAGCAGTTAATATGATAGCTGGAGGGGGACTCCACCTTCCTGACAAACCCAACGAGCTGGAGGTAAGCCAGGGGAAACAGCCCAAAAGCATCTGTGCAAACAGGTCCTCCCTGAAGACAAGCAGAGTCGGGGAGATGCCTCAGTCCTTATTCCCAAGATCTCTCACACCATATGGCATATGCAGGTCATTACTACAGCACCTGCTGTTTGTACAGGATTAGCAGTTCAGCAAAAGTGTCAGACTGAATCGCTATCTGTCACTCGGTGCTTTCAAGCTGTCACAACACTATTTTGTCATTATTTTAGTGCATATTTGTGGTGTTCTTACTATGTGACAGGCATTATTCCAGATGTTGGGGTTGTAGCACTGAATAAAACAAAGACCCTCCCCTCACAGAGCTTATATTCTAGTTGGGGAAGGCCGATTAGCAAGCAAACAAGCAACGCCACCAGATAGTGGTAAGCACCATGAAGAAAAGTAAAGTCAACAGTGGATCAGTGTGTGATGGGGAGTCCAATTTCAGAGGAAATTTCCCCTGGAAAGGTGGTATTTGAACATACATTGGAATGAAGGGAGGCAGCCAGTCATGTTAACAGTGGGGGTACATTAGTCCTAACGGAGGGACCAGCAAGGTCAAAAAATCCTGAAGAGGGAATCTACTTAGCAGCTTCAGAGAACAGCAAGATTGCCTGGTAACTTTGTTAGAATGGAGTGAACAGGGGGGATGGAAAATGAGGTTGAGGCAAGAGAGCTAGAATAGGGAACAAAGGCCTCAAGCTCTAGCCCTCCTCTTCTCTGTCTTGGCTTGGACATCACAGACATGACCTTCACTGAGCACCTGTTCCCCCTCTTCTCCCTCCCCAATTACCTCTAATTGGGATGACCAAAAAAATCCCTATCAAGAGAGGACAGATGAGGATGAGCCACGTGGGCAGTAACCCCACCTGCGTCAGAAGCAGAGGACCGCCATGTCCCCCACACTTGCCTACATTTGTCAAATATTTCTACCCAGACCCCATAAGACAACTCATTCTCTAATGATGCCTGCTCTCTCTTCTCGAGTGCATACTATCTCTTTAATAAATTTACTGTGCTTTGGTAAGTCTTTCAACAAGAACCT